TTCAAATACAACCTCTTTTTATATTGCGGACATTTCAAGTTCCTTGACGCTTAATAAATTCTTCCTTAAATCGGGTACATGATACAATGATACAATTTACCTTCTTTTCTCTTACTTTACTAATAGCCTTTATGTTACATCCATGGCCAATAGAAAATTTTCATTTTCAGCTACAGCAATTTTAATTGGTTCTTCTAACATTACCAAATCACAAAAATATGTTTTCTTCTTCACCATGTGGTCAGTACAACCAGAATCAATAACTCCCAAAAAACAAATGTTTTGCACAGTATTATTCCGGTATAGGTTATCTTCACTAATGTTATTAACAAAATTAGTCATTCTTTCCCTACCTTTGTTTCCATAGCTGTTCTGAATACCTGAACCCCAAAATGATCCTCTCTGACTATATCTCAAACCATATTCTCCACCTCTGTCTTCATATCTTCTCTGATTTGCTCCATTGTCATATTTCCAAATTTGTCTTTGCTGATATTATTACTATACCTCCCACCATAATTTATACCAAAATTCGTTCCTCGTTTTCGATTTTCATAAAAATGTCCATGTGCTTGCCCATATCGTTGGATATTAACGTTATTGAATTTTTTACAGTTCTTCGTGAAATGACCGGATTCGCCACATCTATAACATGTACCTTTTTGCTGTGTAGTGAATGCAAATGTACTGTCCTGATCATCATTAATTATTCTCTTGCCTAAATTTCTTTTTTCAAATTCTACCACCAACCTAGACGAATTTCAAATGGTTCGGGGAACTTTTAATAATTGCTACTATGGTTTCATAAGATTTGAGCAAACACAAAAGCATGTTACAAATCAGGTCTTCATCAGTTAGTTGTGCACAAGAAAACACAATTGTCTGAGAATTTCATCGACATGACTGGTAAATGTTTTCATTGATTGTCCCTCATTAAGCTTCCTTGAAAATAATTTTTTTTTTAAACATAGCTGGCTTGACAGACCTTTTTTCTCATACCTCTCCGTTAAAATATTATATTTGAAAAGCTGTCTTCTACGCATTGTACAATCAAATATTTGGCTTTGCAATCCCTTTTATTTACCTGTTGTCTTTCATTTTCGGTGGCAAAAGTAGGTACATGGAATAGTTTCTGTTTCAATCACATCTGTCACTCCATTTTCTGCCACAATCGTTTCCATTCGGAACCTCCAGTTATGATAATTATCGCCATTCAAAGCCTCAATTGCATAATTTTTCCCGGCTTGAGCCATTTTCCTTTTTTTTTTTTATTATCAACCTTTTTTTTAACAAAATTGTAAAATTTCTCACCAAAAGTTTTTTACTTGTATCACTTTGGGGCCCTATGGATCTGGGCCCATAACCTGTTATAATCACCATTTAAAAATTCTTCAGATTAACTTTTATTCAACAAAGAACGAAGCAAGGATTAAACTATTTCTACATACTTTTTGATACACATTTTGTCATCTATCAAAACTACAATCTAACCACCAGACACAAATAATATCTCTTCATTACCCAATCTTAGCATTCTATGTACCTATTCTCAAAGCCCACATATCAGATATCAATGATTTATAGGACATCCACATCTAGTAAAACCCATATACCAAGTCACCAAGTCACTTCATTCTTCAGTTCGCTGCTGCCTGTTTTCAATGCTTCTAGTAATAGTTAATTTTACTGCAATATTCAAAAATCTCTATGAACCTTATGGGGTGTATCACTGATCTTGATGTCACGAGACTTTCCAGCTGTTCTTGATAGAGAATTCCTATTATTTGGAGGAGTAAGAATCAATAGTGGCCAGCGTGATGTCTGATGTCACCTTCTGACTCCGTATTGCGGACTACTGAGCATCCATCCAGAAATCTTCCCTTCAAATTCCAGATAGTCATTAGAAGAACGATTTTGGTGGATGTTATAGTGAGTTAACCACATGAATGAATTTGTGAGACAAAAAACGCAAAAAATAGCACTTTCTGTTTCACGAATTTCGTATGCGAAACAATTTCTGCCCTTGTTTCAGAAACGCCAGTGCCCCGCCTCATTTGGACACATGGGTCGTCTGATAATGAAACAAATTTCCTGTTTCTTGCAACGATTTTGATGGAACTTATTTCTCCAGTTGGTCACCTGTCTATGAATCTTGTTCGGTGGTTTTTCTAGAGCAAAATGGGCTATTGTTTTCCAATCAGTTCGGTTTCCAATCCTAAAAAATAAGAACGATTCCATTTGTGTCTTGGAAAGGGTTTACCTCAAACTTATTGTTGCCAATATTTTGTGACTTGGCCAAGGCTTTTGACTGTGTCAACCACGGAATACTACTGGGCAAGCCACCGGCGTATCCAGCCCATGCGTCTGGGGGGGGGGGGGGGGGGGTAATCAAATGCATTCAAATGAATGATAGTAGAATTAGTCCAGGAGATTATTATGCATTATTTGTGGCCCAGATACTTTTGGTGACGATGGTACATCCATTTTCCATTGATCAATGTGAATGATTACTCATAGAGTGAGTTTTTTTTCATTACTCAATTGTTTTCAGCCAATGAAAATATCTTGGTCTCATTACTCCACTATTTAATAGCCAATAAGAAAATTCGACAAGTTGACAACATGCATAGGTACTTCAACCTTCCAATCGGTCATTTTGACAGCTGATTTGAACAAGACTTGTGCTAATCTAACCTCACTTTGTCCTACAGCTGTCAGAATTGTCAATTAATTTTGTTACGAAAATTAAATAGAAAACCGCATAACTCGTGCCTATTATCTATTAATCATAGAAAAAGTATACTATTCTACTCGAGGGTAATGGCTATTACTCACTCGGATGATTACACTACTCGCCTGCGGCTCGTAGTGCAAACTTCATCCTTCGCGAGTAATAGCCATCATTACCCGCTCGTTGAATAATATACTATTATTTGTAAGGTGTAGGATACATACCCTGCGTTTTTATTCTCATCAAATTTTACCGATGGATCCACCATTCTATGACCGTCATTGTCATTTTCCATTCACTAAACAGAGATAGCTAACTCATCGATGAAGTCACCGATGAGAATAGAAACGAGGGGAAATTTCTCGTCCACCGGAACAATCTTGGGGGGGGGGTAATTATCCCCATTACCCCCCCCCTTGTATACGCCGGTGGGGCAAGCTTGAAATCTATGGTTTTAGAGCTGTTGGCCTGAGGTGGTTCAGTTCACCTATCACAGAGAAATCAAGAGTGCTATCTCTCAGGATGGTGTTGTAGCTTGACTGTTGGAACTGGCGTTCCACAGGGGTCTGTCTCGGGACCATTGTTGTTTTTAGTGTATGTTAATGATCTACATGCGGTCGTAGAGAATGTAGTATCATAAAGAGACTGGCATGCTGAGTACTATAATGAGCGACGACTTAGCAAGAATTAAAATGTGGTGCGACTCCAAGCGGCTGATATTTAATGTTCTAAAGACATACATTATGCATTTTAAGTGTAATCTTGGCGATGTTTATCTGAATAACATGGGCAGAAACAGGGACCAGTTCAGGTTTGATAAAAACATTGAGCACGTATGTAAAAAAATATCATCGGCATGCTTTGTCGTTAGAACTGTCCAAGCTGAGTTGGGTAAATCGGTTGTTAGAAGGGTGTACTTTTCTTTAATTGAGTCAAATCATAGATATGACATTTGCTTCTGGGGTTATTGCTCATTAACATTGCTTAACATGATATTTGTTCTCCAGAAGCGTGCTAAAAAGTCGGCATGTGGTCTTAGTCCACGAAGCTCTGATAGACCATTCTTTATAAGTAGCCGTATTTTGCCCCTGCCTTTTATCTTAATTTTAGAATCTGTGTGTCTCATGCAGAAGAAGTGTTCTTCTAATATTCATGCTCCCAGCACAGTCAATACTAGAAGTTCACGTGTGATTGATCTACCGGTTCCCACATCCTCAATTAGGTACTCAAAAATCCATCCACTACAACAGTAAAAAAAATTTTGATCACCTACCTCATAGCATAAGAATAATAAAGGAGGGTGGATACTTCAAAAAACAAGTTAAGAAATTACTTTCGGCTGAAGCTTTTTACTCTGTAGCCAACCTTGTCATGTCTACTTTGTTGATGTTTTTAATTGAGGTTTGTATTGTATCGATATCTTAGTCCATATTGGAAGTTTTACTATGAAGATTTGTATCTTTAAAGAATAATAGTAGATTATACCACGAGTCAATAATGATAGCTATTATTCCCGAGGAATATTTACGAACTGGGCCGCGTTAGCGGCGAGGGAGTAACATTCCGGGGGAATAATAGCCATTATTGCGAGTAGTATACTCTACTTTATTTACGCCAAATTAATTTATTTGAAATTTTCTTTTTAAAAACGCTCGTTGTTCATCCGTCTTAATACAAATACACAAGCACTACGCGTTTGACACTGACACTTTTGAGTTTGTTCAGGTATATTGTTTCCATGGTAGTACTACTTATTTAATTTGAGAAATTTTGTGATTGGTGTGCAAGCGGGATTAATGACCATTAATCCCTGCGGGAATAATATATGGCATTATACTGCCAAAATCACAAATATAATACTTGCATTATATGTCATTCGTAAATAAAGCATATTTTCATCATACTGTAATTGCCCAATAAATTCTGGAAAGTGAGGGTTGAGTTGAGACTGCCCTGAGAGCCCCTCATACGGTGCTGCTAAGTTGGACAGAATTTCCGGAGAAAACGTTGATTTGGAAAGAGGGTGATGCGATGTTAGAATCTATAACAATAATTATGTAACCAGTATGAACTCTTTTTTTTTTCAAAGTTATTTATGATCATAACCTGTGACTAGAAATCGAGTTAACCTAACATTAGTATAATCTAAACTTATAAACTCGTTCGTCCTAACTGACCGTTAGGGACTACCTTGTGTACAGAAAGTAGTGAAATATGTTTCCTATTACTTCAAATATTCCTAATTAAAAATCTCCTCTTTAAATTCCAGATAGTCAATAGAAGAACGAACGCGAGGCTTTCAAAGTTGGCAAAGGGGAGACACGAGGGACATATGCTAAAATTGCGGCTGGTCACTACACATTTCCTGAAACAGCCATAGTGTTAGAATGTGTCGCGATAGGGATATGAGCGGTTAAGTTCCTTTATTTGTGTCACATTCTAAGCAAATTTCAATAACTTCTCTACTATTGCGAATTTTTGATTGTATTTTTCAACCGTCGTTTTTGCATTGGATTATCAGTAATTATAACGAGAGTAAGTATAATATCACTTATTACTTAGAAGAGATGGGAGATTTTAGGCCGATAAAAAAATAAAGGTTGTGTTGTGTCTACTCAAATTAGAGGAAAATATACTTTAGACGTCGCCTGAGAACAAAATGCTTTAACTAAAAATACTAAAAGCAAAGTCTAAAGAGATACTTACCTAATCTTCTTTTTTTTTGAGATAAGAACTTTCTTGAAAAACTTTTAAATTAGTTGACAATACATAAACATTAAACAAACTACAACATTTGTAACCAGTGCTTAACGACAAAGGAACTTCTTATCATAGATTTAATGAAGTCTCATTTCAATGCTGCACATGCAGACAATAACGATAAAGAAATAATAATACATAATAGGTACCTTGAAATAAATACTAGATTCAGTTTTTTTTCTAAATAATTTGTATGACTTAATATCAAATTTCAGTACTGTAATGAAAAGTACTGTCTCAAAGGAAGAGACGCCACAAAAGTTTGTGGCCAAAATCCAATACGACCATCGAATATGTAAGGTGAAAAAGATTTCGTTGCCAGTGGGCAACCGGCCAGTACCACCAGGAGGTACTTTCGATGAGGCAAAAGCTGCGTGTAAGGCGCGTAAGAGAAAAGAGCGACAGGAAAGTCTTAGTTCGCAACAAGATAGGAAAGTAATCAGGTAAGATAATAGTTACCTAGTGCGGAAAGTAAATCTTACCACACGCTTGTAGAAAAACAATAATTACATTTATTTTGTTTTCATAAACCCACCCAATTTTAAAAATGTGTTTTGTGTTTTATAATGTTAAGTTAAAATAAAAATTTTTCGTCGATGTTTCATATCTTATTTCATGCGCTTGTAGAAAAAATATTGTAGGTATCCAACACGCATGAAAAGTTTCTTTTCCGCACGCCACTGCATCAGTCGGAAATAATTATTTTCCGCACTAGTTAGGTAAATAACTTATAACAATCATATCAGAACACTTTGTCTCCGTCGCCTTGCTGCAACACTTATATTATACAAATGAATTTTAGATCAAACTCAGAAGAAAGACCCACGACAACATCGGCCTCGGATAATTCAGAAGACAAAAACAATGGCATACGCAGAGTTTCGAGCTCGGGAGACTTTCCAAAAATCGAAGAAAAAATCAAATCACCATTCAAGAAACAAGAAGCAACAGAAAAGACACTTACCTACGACGATTCTGAGCACGACAAAAGACGATCACATGAAAGATTTGCTAAATCCCATAATGTTCTCAGCCGGAAACACCCGAACAAACGTCTCAAAGTGCGATGTTCAAACAAAATCAAATTCAAATATGATTTACAAGAGAGTATTAAAAGGAATGTGTCTACTACTATTACAGGTATGTATCGTACAGTTCGTGCATCCTAAATGTGCTCAAGCCCAAATACTTTAAAAAACTATTGACCACAAAAAGCTACCTCTTTTCTTATACTAAACTATTTTTTTCTAAAGCGTAAGCTGCGTGGTTTGTGTTTCGCAATGTTTCCGCTATCCCACATGAATGTGTATTATGTCTAATATAGTAATATACACACACAAGATCACAATCCTTAATGATAATAAATTTTACAGCTCAAGCAACCCAAAAACAAACATTGAACCTGGACTACGAACCCACAAAGAACACAGATAACCAGGACCATGACTCAAATCAATATCCAGATTCTTGCAGTCCAATCAAAACCACTCTACTAGATTTCACCACCCTGCACCAACAAATCGAGGGTTCCGAACCAGTTCTTTCCCATCCCAAACACGAAGTGCAAGAAAACATTGAAACCATGCCCAGTGAATATATCGCTTCGAGCCGTTTAATGTCTTCGCCGAGAAATTCTATAATAGCCACCCACAAGATTTATTTGGATCCCGATATTGCGCAGATTTCATTGAAAAAATCCGGCCAGAATCCAGTGGAAGAACGTATCCAGAAAATTAATAAGCAAATAAATAGTTGTAAGCGGAAGATTTTGATAAGTGAAGCGGATTTTGAAGCTAGAAATGGTAAGATTTGGGTCAATGAACAAAATTCTATACTATTTCTCAAACTATAAGTACCTACTACTTAACTTATCTTGCTGTAGAAATAAAGATATTGATCAGATTCGTGGTAAAATTTAAATGTTCCAGGCACAAAACCATCTCAAACCGATAAGCTCAACGATGACATCATAAGAAAATTGTACCTGCAACTCAACAAATTGAAAAAAGAACAAAAGCAACTATCAGAAATTTCCGTGGGATGTTCTAGAATGAATTTGAGCGGCAGTGGCATACCAGTGGAAAAGATTGTTAGTTTACAGGAAACTGTCAAGGAAATTGAACAAAAACTGTCAGTTAAACGTGAAGCTGCCAACAGAAATTTCGATTTGGAAAGTTTAACAGCCGAACAATTGTTTGAGGAAAAAGTTGCAACTCAAAAAGCTTTATTATTTTTAGAGTCGATCCACGGTAGGCCCCAAAGTAAAGAAGAACGCGACATTGTGAGGCCTTTCTATGACCGATATCGCATACTCAAGAAAATGGTAGCTAGAATTTCAAACGTAAGAGTTTTATGTATAAAAATATTAAGAAATTTGATTGCAATTTATTGTATATTCCAGATTGGCGCAACTGGTGAATTAGCAACAATTCACGAAAACGAAGCCTTGAATTTTGTAACACCAAATACATCCTCCAATGAAACAGAATCAGAAAAAACCGATGACACGCCAGACAAAATTGAAGAAACAAACGAAAACGAAAATTTGCATTGCTTAGACAAGCAGGATCTTCTGAAGCAAATCAAATCGGCTTCGGAAGAAAAAAAAGATTTAAGGCGGCAAATAAAAGAGTTTGAAATTGAGGTGCAAGCGAAAGTGTGCAGGATGCTGACTAAAGAAGATAAAAAACCAATGGGAGAGGTTTATGCGGCTTATAAGAGGGTCAAAGGCCAGTTGAGGTTATTGGAAGCACTGTTTGCTAAATATTGAATTGGGATTCCCCGTAAAAATATCCACACGTAGGGTTATGATTGGTTGTAGGGCCGTAATTTGCCTAGCCAATTTACTTTCAAATAGTTATAAAGTGATGTTTTATAGTGTTTAATTGATATAGTTGAAGCAACAAGAAAATATGTATTAAAGAAAATTGTTGTTTAATAAAAAAACATCGAGGTTTTTCTGAATTTTTGTCTAATTTTTTTTCAATTCGCATGATAATCCCGAAGAATAGATTAACATCTGTGATTGAATATGCAGTTGTGAGAAGAAAAATAAGCAAATTTCCAGAAGGAATTACGAGGAAGGGGCCTGCTCGTTTATCTCTAGATTTAGCCCTCCGCGAAACAATTTCTCAAATGATTAGACAGATAACCCAAGAAGAATAGGATGAGAAAACCTCCTAAAGAAGTCACAACAAGAAAGTAACTGGCCTAGAAGTAGCTTACGGCGCAAGAAGAAGTGTAAGTTTTGGCCCCGTCCAAAGTACTCTAAAACTGTTTGAGTTTAGAGGGATTTAACTATTTCGGATTCGACGAGTGCAACATCAGACGGCTGATCAGAAAGCGTTTGCAATTTGTTGAACATATTATTATGACAAGAGAGCAGGACAGAGATCCGTTCAAATTTGCATTTAAAGACAGAAAATCGTTCAAATGGGTCCAAATGTGATTCCCTATGGCTTTTTCTATGAAATTCTTAGTGGATGTAAGCTTTTTGACTTTAAAAAATTGCATTATTGGAAATTTTCCATTTGTACACGTCTCATTTTAAAAGAATGGCAGCAAATATCCAGTTAAGTTCTCCAAAATTTTGTAGAGGGCGCGAGTGAACTTGGAGTGTTTCAAATTTTGGCGGTAAATGTCAATAGTTTGAAACCGTTTAAATTGAGTAGAAGGAAAGATGACTACAATATGAACAATGGACAATGAATAAGTTAAAATATCTTCCAAAGCATTCAGTGGCTCTTAGAGAATATTTTTAATAGTGTCAGCGGCAGCTTGTCTTGAAACCACACATCAGACTTAACTTTTGAGGTTGACATTACAATCAATTATTTACGCGCCAAAATTTAAATAGCTCCAAGTTCAGAAGCGCCCTCTTCAACTCAACTGTCAATATTACATGCCATTTGAAGCTTATGTGTCAGTGTGTGTCATATTTAGATAATCCGTGTCAATAAAGGTTGAAATGGTCCTCTAAAAGCAATAGGGTGTTCACGTGATGTAGATTATAGATTGTGAAGTTGAATTGGTCTGAATTACTGTTCTGTTCTGTAGGACGCCTACCGGTCTTCGGGATGAAGACCACATTCACATCCTGCTGGAAGCTAGAGGACACCAAACTGGTTAATCCATAGGTAGTTTTTTCTTGGTTCTTGGTCATTGTGGAAGAAGATAGATAGTCGGAATGTTAGGGGTCCAGATAAAGCTGAAAAAAGGGTGTAGGTAAATTGAAAAACCTTGTACACAGAAGATTTCAATTACAGTGAGGAGGAAGTCATCCAGTATAAAGAAAAGAAATAGGTGTAAGCAGTCATGGCAAACAGTACCCCAATACAGATAAAATCATTTGATGGAAAAGGATTTTCTAATTGGGAATTCAGAATGAAGTTGCTTCTCGACCATCATGGAGTTTTGGATTGCTGAAAAATGATCCGCCTGACGAGCAGAGCAATCACGTGAGTAGGCGTGTAAAGTTTAAAAAGGATCATGTAAAGGCTCGTAGCTTGATAGTCAATAGTTTGGCTGATAATATACTCGAGATGGTGAAAGCTAAGGCTACTGCAAAGGAAATGTTATTAGAATGAAGTGGTACTTATACGAAGTCTGGTATAGTCAACCAAGTAAGGACAAAGAATATTTAGAACATTAAGATATGATAGAAAAAGTTCTTTAAAGGATTTTCTTGTAGAGTATGAGCGAACCGTCTTAGAACTAAAGAATTGTGGTGGATCAATCCAAGGATCAGAGATTATTACACAATAGACCTTTTCAAGGTCCACAACGCGCTTGCGCGTCAAATAAGTGGGGTTATGTTGGCTGTTTATTTTGCGGTCCAAAAAGCATAGCAAGTATTATAAAAAAGTTGTAATTAATACCTTTTCCAATTTAAAATGGCCCAAATGCCTTTCAAAAACGTTAAATTATCAGCAGCAGATGTGCCGGGTGCAATTTTTCGTAATGAGATTGTAGAGAAAAATAGCGTATTGGAACTTGAAAGGAATTTACGTTGAAGACATGGCCAGGGAAAGCGGTAAAAAATTAATCCCTCGGAATATCCGGCTCTTCCAACTCTGCTGTCACTATTACACTTTCCAAAAACACAATATTTGTGTGCCCCATCGCTTTTACTAATTTTTAAATAGGTTTTTCCAATATTTTCCCATGCATAAACGTGTAAGATTGACCGCAAAACACTAATCAGCTGATCGAAGAAATGACAGTGAAATTGTGCGATGTTGCCGGCTTGTACAAATTGAAGCGCGTTAGGTTTAAAAAAAAAACTTAACAAAATGACCATCAATATATCTTTTCAATAAATAGCTTCAGTCTTTGACTGCATCAAATATAAGGTTAATTAATAATAAAGAATTTGAATCTCAGTTCTAATGAAATCGAAATTATTCATGATTCTTTCCTGTATAACGTGATAGAAACCGACACTTGGCAACAATGTTTTGCGCATGCGCAACAGAATTATTCTAATTTGAAAAGGTCTATTATCTGCAATGCCTGATATGTATTAAAATGTGACTACAACAATAGACATTTTGTATTGTCAAGAACCCAGTAAAGTGACTCTAGAATTCATTAAGAGTAGACTCTTGATGGAAGAAGAGAGACAATAAAAATAAGTATGAACCAAAATATCAGGGTGAAGGGTCAGAGGTATAAGGAAGAAAATTGGAAAAAGAAGAAAAATGAAAAGAACTTTCCATCCAGATGCTATGGTTGTGAAAAAAAGGGGCACAAGAAGGTGGACAGTCCAAAGTTGAAAAATATCTCATTTGGCTGAAAGCGCCAATAATAGTGAAAGTGCATTTATTTCTGAATTCAATCAGAGGCACGAACATTGGCTTGTTATGCAGCACGAAAAAGTGACTTTAACTTTGTAGTTGACAGCGGTGCTACAAATCATCTCGATTGTGGAAAAAATTTGAGTAATGTAGAAGAGAATCATCGAATAAGAATAGCAAAGGAGGATGAAGTTATTATAGCAAAAAGAAAAGGTAATTTGCATGTTGAGGCTATAAATGGTAGAAAAATTGTTGCAGAGAATGTCCTTGAGTGTGAAAGTTTGACTCGTAACTTATTGTCTGTCAAAATTCTAGAAGAAAAAGGTCTGAGGGTGGTGTTTGAAAATAAAAAGGTCTTGATATAAAATCAAAAGAAAGTACTATAGTTATTGGGGAATTGAATAAGAATTTATACACTTTAGATTTATTTTTAAGAAACGCTGAAGAAAACACAGCAACTGTTGCTGAAATTGACAAAAACTTATGGCATAGGCGAATGGGACATTCTGCTAAATATCCATATGAAGGAGTTTGTAAAATACATTTAAAAGGTGAGCAAACCAAGGATCCTTATGTAACTCTTACTGAAGAGAGAAAAGCAGAACGAATTCTTGAAGTTGTATCTTCCGATGTGTGTGGACCAATAACACCCACTACTTATGATGACAAGAGATATTTTGTAACCTTCATAGATCATTACCAGTCATTGTTATTTAATGAAGCACAAGAGTGAAGTTTTTGAACATTTGAAGAACTTCTTAGCAATGGTTAGTGCAAAATTTAGCAAGAAACTAGAACGAATAAGATGTGACAATGAAGGAGAATACGTCTCAAGTGAATTTAAAAACTTTTGTTCAAAGAAACCTATTAAAATAAAATAGTTGCATATACACCACAACAAAATGTTGTAGCCGAAAGATTCAACAGAACCGTAATATAACGTGGAAGATGTCTAATATTTGAATCGAAAATGGACAAAAGTTTTTGGGGTGAAGCCTTGAAAACAGCTGTATATCTAATTAATAGAACTCTAACAACAGTGCTGAAAAATAGGGTAGTTCCAGCTGAAACATGTACCAAAAGTAGACAGATCCAGTAAGTTAGATGAGAGATCAAAACTATTATTTATGATGAGATATACAGACAATAGATATCAGATTTGGGACAAAGAAAAATAGGAAATTGTGGTTGCAAGAAATCTAAAATTTAACGAGAATAAAAAGGATATCATAGATTAGGACATTGAAAGACAGAATAAAGAATGCCAGGAAGTGACAGATTTAGAAATCAGTAATGATGAGGAAATACAAAGTACCTACATGAAAAGAAAATTGCCAAGTACAAGATAAAGAGAAAAATGAATCAGAAAGTCAAACTGAAATTTACAATAATATAATACGGAGACGATTGTTTGTTTGATGTCGAATTTCAATTTATCTTCGATAATAAGAGCAGCGGGACTGTAAACGCGATTCATCTAAATTTTTGACAAAAAATAAAAACTATGATATTTGAACCCGAGCCATACTAGAACAAAATGGAGGCACTTACTTGTGTTCTTCCAACGACGTCTTCTTTTCCTGCAGGTGCACCTGGATGGTCTACCAATTCTTCGACAAACACAATCACATAAAATAGGTTTAAAATATCTTCTAAGACTATGAGCGAGGTTGATTTTCAGATTTTCTAACGGAATTTTTAACTGAATTTCAAAGGATCGGTTTGAGGGTTCTGAAAACTCAACTGACAAGTTCGGATCTCTGTCTTAATCTGGTTGGTGCGGTGATTTCTGGGAAGCGCATCGAATCTTCTTGTGCCACATAAAACTTGAAATTGTATGGCGCCAAAATTTGAAATCAAGTATACGAATTAAATTAGTTTGGAAATTAAAATTAAGCTATGCACGAACAACGATCAATGAGAGAAAGAAAAACTCCTAGGCACTTTGAAGAATATGATATTGAACTGATGACAGCACTATCAGTAAACATATCATCAGACGTACCTGAAAATTATGATAAAGCTATTGAAGGAGGAGACGGTTGGGAGAAAGCCATACAAGACGAATTGGACTCAGTTGTACAGAATGAAACGAAACAAGGGAGATATTCCAAAACCAAATAATGTTGAAATTATAGGTTCGAAATGGATTTTCACAAAAAAAAAAGA